CTTTCTCCGGGATAAAATTGCTTTCAACGATACGCGCTGGCCCGTTTATTCTCCACTTCGCGCAATTTATGAGGACCGTGATAAAGAACCGACGTATCAAGCAGCGTGCTACAGATTGATATATAACACGGCAGATATGCATCCGTTTTCACTACCCGGTACACCATGGATATACAGCTGATTACACATGAGATTTATACCACGTTGTGACTAATTGCCATGGATCCCACGATAGAATGGTAACTAACACTTGCACCGATATAATAGTGAGAAAATGTCACGCGATACATCACGACGATAGGACGTACGTATGGTTATCAATGAATGCCACTGCATATATATATATATATATATATATATATATAGCATGTTAGAAGAGATAGGCTGAAACTTACATCGCCTCGAGATCGCGATGTTCCAGGTAACGAAACACGTCACAAATTGTATCGTATTCGTCGGAAGAAGATGTTACTAAATATTACTAAATCGTACATACTATAACTGTAACTCCGAGTTAACAGCTTCGAGAACACAAGCTTCTGCTCGAAAAATAACCGAAAAGGGACCGAAGTCGATCTCTGCGCGGAGAACCCGTGAACCGGACGAAGTACGGAATCGGTCGCTTCTAACACTAGCACAGTGGCTAGCGAAGGTGTTTCGACTCACCTTATCATCATGTCATATTTCTGGAATTTCATTGAACATTTGGAATTTGGAATTTCTTTGCCGCCGTAATATAACTGTATTGGTTTATATATGAAACTAATTTGACAATGTGTTTGCGAGTTGGAAGATATTTAGCAAGAGCTTATTCTTAACTAACTTCTTGTTATTTTTTTCTGGTTTTCTGAAATTGGCAAATCAATTACCAAAATTTCTTGTCAGTAACTTTGATTGAAATACTTTCGTGACTTCTGCGTATATGTACTTGCACCAAGTATCTTGCAACTTCAAACGACGCTCTGAATCAGTTTGCCAATATAATCGCAACAGACGGCTCTCACGCTACAGCGTTAATGAAATTTCAAAACGTTTCGTAAAGCACGCGTAACGTATAAAATTATACATTGGGCATGAAGTAACGATAAAGGATTTATATATATGTTTCGAACGTGAGATTGAACAAGTATCATACAGTCATACGTGCCAAAAAGTCCAAATACTCTCGCGAGCCACCGTATGATCAATAACCCACGACACACAAAGACACCTATCGATGTTTTCTTCCACTCTTAATCTACGCGACAGAGTAACAGGCTTCTCGATCGAGAAAGAACGATCTGAACGAGCCAACCTTCGTTCGACGATGTTGCAGGTTTCTGAACAAGAGCAGGAGCCAAGCGGCGATGATGGCAAGCCGGGAACGAGAACGGGAACGAGAACGGGAACGAGAACGGGAGCGGGAACGGGAACGGGAGCGGGAACGGGAACGGGAACGGGAGCGGGAGCGGGAACGGGAAAGGGAACGAGAACGCGAACGAGAACGAGAACGAGAACGCGAAAGAGAAAGAGAACGGGAGAGAGAGCGCGAACGAGACGCGGACACGGAGGTCGACTCGCCACTGTCGGCGAGGTCGCGGTACGCCGCGTTGAAAGAAAGAAGACAACGGCTGGCGCGGTCCAGAAGCTCGCACAATTTCGGCGGAGATGACCTCGACCTCGACGAGGAGCCACCCTCCCCGACCACCCAGTCGCCGAACGCTTACTTGGCAGCCAAGTACGGAGCCGGCTCTGAACTGGCCAGAAGCCGGAGTACACACGCCCTGAAGTCGAGAGAGCCGAGCCCGGAGCGCGACAGGGTTGGCACGGAGAAGGATGGAGCTGCTTTGAGCTCGTGGGCACGTTACCTGAAGAACAAGTACGGCAATCGCACCACCAAAGACAAGGAGCCCTCGACCTCTGCCTCGACGATTCCATCGTCGTCCAGGTGAGGCGTTCATCCGATCCAGGCGGTAAAGTCTGGATGTCGAGTATCAAGTTAGAGCGAGAGTAAGCGAGACAGAAGAGAAGTGAATCTCTTCTGAGATTACTGAGAAAGTTTATTACAACTGTATATATGCGGGATATGTTTGCAGCGGGAGCGCAACCTCGAGGAGATTATCGCTGGGCTTGCCTTTGAGGCACGGCGGACAAACGTCCTTCGAATCTTCCGACGACGATCAAAAAAACCCGTCAGGCTCCCCCACGTCCCCTACAGCAGCTCTCGGTATACCCGCGGCAGCAGGTTCCTCCACTAGGTGAGTCTGTTTCATCATTTGATCAATCAGATACGTAGAGCTTTTAACCCTTTCGGTACGAGCGAACTCCCGCTGTACAGTCCTCTTTTGTATAAAGATTCTCCTAAGCGTTAAATAAGAACTGTGCTTAATAAAACAATGTTTCTTCTAACAAGTGTCGTTTATAGTTTTAATATTCAAAGACATTTGTATAGAATTCTATTAATTATATAAGTAACACTAGATTTATATATAAGTACACGCAGGTCATCGGATATATCCGGCGCTCGTACCGAAAGGGTTTAAATTCACCTTCGAATTTACTACTTTGGTTGCTTTGTGGTCCGCGATGAAATCGAGCGTGAACGTGAGGCAACGTGAAATTTGTCGAAAACCGGAAGGAAATCTGACAGTAATGTTGAAATTTGGACAGTAATGGCCGGAGGAGTCACTACTTGCTGAAGCGGCGACAGCTGTACAAGTTCGGGATGCGGGGGAGCGAAGCCGGATGCTTTACGTGGCCGAGAGGCCTCGCGGTTGGTCCTGACAATTCCATCGTCGTGGCCGACAGCTCCAATCATCGTGTTCAAGTAATTCATTCTCAAAGTTTCCCTCACACGGCAAACAAATTTCCGCCACATTCGCGAAGGAGACAACTTGTAGAAAACAAAGTTCGTTCGTCCGTGAAAACTCTGGTGAAACACACTCGCTCGCGCGAGTGCCATTTCTAAAGTACATTATCCTCCGGAATAAGCGAGACTCGAAGGACGAACGAATTCATTACGCACGAATTACTATGTAGAAATGGATAGAAAATTGCCCGAACGAAGGGGAAATTTTCAAGGGATCGATACATGACGTTGAAATTTGTGTTGAAACAGGTGTTCGATTGCAATGGGAACTTCATGAAGGAGTTCGGAACGTACGGCAGCGGCGAGGGTGAATTCGACTGCCTCGCCGGAGTGGCCGTGAACAGGATCGGGCAATACATCATCGCGGATCGTTACAACCACAGGATTCAGGTTCTCGATCCTTCCGGTCGTTTTCTCAGAGCTTTCGGCTCCCAAGGGACCGCCGACGGTCGGTTTAATTATCCCTGGGGAATCACCACCGACGCTCTTGGATTTATTTACGTGTGCGATAAAGAAAACCATCGCGTACAGGTACGTGCGTTCGCGATATTGCTGTTTATTTTTCTTTCTGTTGTAAGTTTCTGTTGTTCGGGAGATCGTTTGAAACGGCATCGTCGATGCGACAACGTGCACCAGACCCTCAAAGATATCGCGTCTTCGCGTCTTCCTGTGTTTCACCGTAAACTTACGATAACGATACAAATATGATGTTAGTTTTCAGTGTTCGTTAACTCCCTTTCAAACTCCCTCGTTATGTGTTACCTAGACTTTGTATAGTTATACAATCCCGAATAAAAAGCCTTCGACTTTTTTTCTTCAATAAAAAAAAAAAAGATATTAATTTCGAGTATAATTCTCTGTTTGAAATACCCCCCCGAAAACATCGATACGAGAGAAACATGAGCGCCGAGCGACGGTGAACGATCCAAGTTCTTCCGTAGAGAAAAGTGAGAGAAAAAAAAAAAGAAAAGAAAAGGTTAAGAGAAAGAGATGCTTACTTGAGACGCACGGCGTTCAACAATGACGACGAAACGTGAGTGAATTTTGCAACAGCAGCAGCGACACAAAACGATCAACACGTAACCCCTCCGCCGACATTCGATTCCCTTTCCGATCGTCGACTTCTCACGTAGGTTTGTGCAAAAGAGGTGGATTGTTATCTGCTAATTGGTGTGTGCATATCATAGCGTATATCTCACGTGGTAGCGTTT